TTTTTTTTTTTCAACTTTCTTTTTATTCTGTTTTCTTAGCTCTGTAATAATGATGTTTTAGACTAATAGATATTAGGCTGTTGAAACTGGTGAAAAAATGAATTGAAATAAGTAATGAAAAAAAAAAATTTTTTTTGTCGGTATTTGCTTTTGGTCGCTCAGTATTAATAGCAGTTTTATACTTGGGTCTTAAAACTTGAATATTTGAAGCTGTTTGAAGAATGTTGCAAGAAAAGCTGAAGTTTTTATTGACTGTATTGTAGACAATTGTAATCTCGCCAAAATTGCGAATGGATAAGTTTAGCATTGAAATTGAAGTCAGTCAAACAAAAAAAAAAAAGTATTTTTGCAATTTTTGAGATGTTACCTAAATGGTTCTTTACAGCTTTTTTATGACGGGAATATATCTGAGGTACTATTTTATCATCTAGTTTTGAGTGCTTCAAAAGTGACTTTAATTTGATGATACGAGTATATTGTAGACAAGTGATAATCTGTTTTTTCACTACTGTTGTACACTAATGTTTTGCTGTATTATCGATGATCGGTAGTATTGGAAAGCACTGAACTGTTTGCTGTGTTTGTTTTTGTCGGATATATGAACAGTAATAAGTCTTTAAGAACTGTACTATAACCTTTCATTTTAAAAATACTTTTTTTTTTGAAGTTTCTTTTTTTTTGTCTTTGTAAGAAAGCAGTAAAATTTTTGGTTCAGAAACTACGCTTAGAAAAAAGCTTACAACTTACTACTATACGTTAGTTGTTATAGTTGCAAATGTCGGCTGAATTAAGAGATGGTCTTTTTTTTTTTGGTTTATCGTTGGTATATATTAAAACAACAGCAACAAAAAAAATACCAAATTCTTTTTTTTTTTCATTATTCAACTTTATTAGCTTAATTGTTTTCACGCAGATATACTTTAGCTTCATCTCAACCATTTGATTTACGCTTTTTTTTTTTGCTTAACTGCTGAACTTTACATTTATATTTATTCAACTGGTAGTTTTCCAGAATATTTTTGACATTGGTGTCACTATTATACAATTCATTATGCATTAGTTTCTTCGTTCCTC